TTGCGGCCTGTCAGGGCCGCCCCTCATCGCCGCTGCTCTTCCCCAGGCCTTCACCGAGCTGCAGGCCAAGGTGATAGACACGCAGCAGAAGGTGAAGCTGGCCGACATCCAAATCGAGCAACTGAGCAAGACGAAGAAGCACGCCCACCTCACCGACACGGAGGTCATGATGCTGGTGGATGAGACCCGCATGTACGAGGGCGTGGGGAGGATGTGAGTACCTGCCTGGCCAGCGGGGAGGAGAGCGGCTGGCTGGCTGGCTCCCTGCTTGGGCGTGCCTGGCTTCTGTGGCGAAGTGGGGTAGTGATTGCAGCCCTGTGTGCAGGGAGACCTCCCCATCTTTCATGTGTAAAAGGCCTCTAGGCTGCTGCCCTGGGCAGGAGGCTCTTCCCTTTACAAAGAACATGCCAGCTCTCTCCCAATGTGTTTGTTTGTTTCCTTGTTCTTATTGTCTTTCATTTTTGATTCCAGGAATCTGCCTGGGAATGCAGCAAGACTTACTGGGTTTTATCTTTTGGGGTTAGCTATTGGCCACCTTGAAGAAGAACTGTTACAAATGGCTTTGTGGGGGTTTGCTTGCTGGCTCTGCTTCTGCCCCCGATGGTCTGGCACCTCTGGGAAGTTTGTAATCTAGACCAGCAGAGCAGCATTCCAATGACAAACAGCATTTGTGAGAATGCTCTCACAAATCTGTCCAACTTTCTGATGTAGTTTACATCACACTCCTTGAAAAACCAATATGCACAGTTCATGTGCTCAGGGCTTTGCTTGCACAAAATGGCCTTTGCAGTATCATGCTAGGGAATGGATCTAATGGGTGTTGCCTGGATTTTTTAAACCCTTAGAAGTGAGCGTAAAGCTCATGGGTAGTCCCAGGGCACTCATAAAGATGTGCTTCTGCGTGTTGGATGGCTGTCAAAAGAAACACCTTAAACCAGAAGTAACGTGTTTTGATTAACCTCCACAACATGCTTCTGTTTGACTTTAGCAGCACCTGATAGGACACCACACAACGTGGTTTCAAATCTGAAACACATGCTTATTAGATAAATATCACACTAGATTTCTGTGTTTCTGACTTGAGAGTACTATGATTTCTCTCTTGTGTCACTTGTGAGTTGGGTAACAGTGATGACTCTACTCAGCTCAGGATGTGGTTGTGTGAAACACTGAATCTGCTCTGACTGCTGCCAAAAGGGATGATTGTACCAACCTCTTCCCCACCCTGTGTTTACCCCACCTACTTTGTATCTAAGTGGATGGTCACCGGGCTGAGTGGTCTACCAGGTCGGACTACAAATGCCCTGATCCATCAGACCACGCAATCTCCAGATTGAGTTGTAGGGAGGTGGCAGGACTGGGAAGCCAGGAACAGTGTGTAGTTTGCCCTTTGCTGCGAGTTTTCAGAGGACATTGTACCCAGGCTAATGGAGGTGTTAAGCATGACAGAATCACTTTCTTGGCTCCCAGTAAATAAACTTTTCTATTTAGGTAAACTAAATACTGGGTTTGTGTGGGTATGCTAAGGACTGGTACCTTAAAAGGAGATAGATTTTGGTCCTTTGCAAGAGGCGACTGATTTGATCCAGGCAGGCTGTAGGCGTAGCAAACACTTGTGTCTGGAGTAGTCATGAGACAACTCATAAGGGTTTTTTTCTGTTTGGTTTTGTCACAGAGCAGACAGACAAAGACTAGAAGATAATTCTGGAGTCAACAGGGTTTCTTTAAAGCTTTTTTTAAAATCTGAAAGTACAGAATACTTCTCCTATATGGAGAATTCCCTCAAGATACCTTAAAAATGTGAGCGTATTTGTCTTTATTGTAAAGTGATCCTGCTTGTGAATGAGATGTGGCTTGCAGATGGTGTTTCAGTGCTGGCTGAAATGCATTGTCCTGCTTTCTGCTTCTACCTCCCACTTTGGAGTAAGAGATGCTTACCTTCTTTGTGTCCTAAACCATGTACACTTTCTCTGTGTGCAGCACCTGTGGGAGTGACAATCTTCTGTGGGGAGTCGTCTTTTGCTTACCTTTCTGTGACCAGACAGGGTGGCTTAGGCATGGCAGGCAGCTCTCGCTCTGCAGGAAGTGCAGAGGCACCATCAGAAAAATATTTGCATTATGATAGTATTTAAAAGATGAACTCTTCATGGGCTTTGTGGTACTTGTTGCTATGCAAATATAGATTAAGAGAGTGCTCTTCTTCTGAATACTACTTACTCACTTCCCACCCATCCCTATCCCCCCCTCGCTGTGTCAGCTTGATACAGTATTTCTGTGAACTCTTCTGGCTGTGGGGCTGAAGGCTGCCTTGCCAATTGGCAGTAATGCTCTGGTATGATCTGTGTCACTCCCTAGTGTGGAGGACACGCAGCAAATACATGAGGCTTTTCCCGGAGCCCACTCCAACCCCTAGTAGAGAATTTATTGCTGAAGTTTGGACTTTTAGCAAAACAGGCTAAAGCAGCCCTTGAGCAGGAATAAAAATCCAAGGGCAGTCTGGCATCTTGTGTTCCACTGGAGACCAAAGGAGGTGGTCATTATGGTTCTTACGGACATATAAGCCATGTTCTGTGAAGTGGAATTGCAGATTTTTTAATTTGTTGGCTTTATTGCCTTGCACAGATGTGGGAGTTCAGCCACCAAATGGATATTTATGATGTCTCAGTTTCTTTTCCATAGTCTAGCATGCAAATGTTAGAGCTCTAGTGGGTTTCAGTTATCCAGAAAGGCTGGAAGTCTGCATCAGTGTCAACTCTGATTATCAGTACTCTTTTGACAGCTTGCTTGAATAGCCATATTCTTTGGAATAAGTTTTGTGCTTCTATTCCTGTGCACAACTTTTTTTTTTCCCTTTTTCTTTTTTTCTTCTTTAACCCATTTAAGCTGCTACTTAGAATCTGGCTTGTGATGGAGTTTCTCTGTTTTTTCTCCAGCTTTAGTGGTTTGGGGTATGTGCCGGGGGCTAGTACATACAGTTCTGTAGGATAAGATACACCAGGTCTTTGTGGAATTTGAAGGCTTGAGGAACTGTGGTGATGTGCCACATCCTGGGAGGAAGTCTGCCTAGTTCGGTACTCACTTCTGCACTACTTGGAAAGCAGTTGTGTGGGTTTTGTTCTCTGAACCCCTATCTTGAGCCTCCTTCCTTTCTGAGTGGCTTTCCCTGCACTGCTGGTAAATGTGAAAGTCCATTTGTCATTCCTCAACTTGGCCTGTTTTGTTGGGTTTTTTTGGGGTTTTTTTGTTTTTTTTTTTTTTTTATATTGTAGTGTCTATGACATGCAAAGGCCTAGCTGGCCTCCACATGTGGGGCTCCATTTACTTTTGCTATAGCTATTTTTGGTTTGACACAAGGAATGTCAGTGCCACATAGTATGAGATGATGAATTGCTGTGTACTGTACATATCCGTGAGGTTGGGATATCATCTGAGTGATGGCATCTTGCCAAATACATTTCAGTTCTGTTACTTCATAGTCTTTTGAAAGGTCTGTTACATTGCCTGAGACAACTACCGCTATGCTGGACTTCTGCTTAAGCTATTTGTGAACTGATATCATCATCGTGCTTTGAGAACTATGCTGAAAGTTTAAGCTTCAGAATTCTGTCTGAATATTTCAGACCTCTCCCTTTACATTCTTTTAACCCATAACCTGGACAGGATCCTTATTTGCAGAAGCAAAATGTCTGGCACTTGTGCTAGGCACAGTGAAGAGAGCACTGCAGTTTTTCATGCTGTGCCAAAATAGATCGTCAGTTTTTGTTTGATATTGCTTTATCATCAGTTTACTTCTACAACAAATGGGAGAACACTTGCAAAAATGAAATATAAGAAAGTAAAAATTGGGTAAATACTGTAGCACAACTTTATGTTCAAGATTTTCTGCAAGTATAGTATGTTATTACAGCTGTCCCTGTAAAATGACTTTGTGCGAGTACAGTATTTTATGGGGACAGCTGTAATAATGATTTTGACTTATTTTTTTTAAG